TCTAAATAGCTGCTTTGTAAAAAAGCAACTAGAATGTCTTAACTTGAAAAGGGAAACAATGAATAATAATTAATAAACTAATATTGATTTAAAAATAAAATTATAGGAAAAAGTAAAGAGTGAGAAATAAATCTTCTAGGAAAAGGTGGGAAATTGAACAAGCATACATCTTCCTTTTCTATTTTTTGTGAACTCCCACAAAAAAAAAAGATAGTAAATGAATTTTTTAATGGGAAGAAATACTAACAACAAAAATTTTTTTAATTCCCCATAACAACAAAATTTCAAAAGCTGGAAAGTAAGAAATGTGGCCAATGACATAGCAAACAGAGGAAAATGGAATCTTAAGCTAGCAGTGGAAAAATTTGAGAAACCAACAAGAATTCCGCAAAACCTCAGGGACAGGCTGCACCAGACACCTCTGGAGAAGAGGTGGGGGCATGCTAAAACGAGAAGCAGTGATTCAAAGTTCTTTTAGGAAGCAATTAGATTCCTAGATCTCCTCCCCTCTCTGCACAGCCAGGCCAGTGCCCCTTTCCCCACCGCAGAGAGACTAGAAGAGGGGTCTGTAGATTGCAGCACGTAGGGCAGAGTTGAGAACTGGGTGCTGCAGTAAAAACAGACAGGTTAAGTGAATAGATGGAGATGGGACCCGCCGCTCTTTCCCCGCTGTGCTCCCACAATGCCTGCAGCCAGAATTATATCCTTTGGGCATAAACCAGAAAGAATCCTCTCTGGGGAATTTGGTCTTTCCAAGAGGAAACACTTAAGAGATTGATGTGGGCATCTGCCAACCAAATAGCCCAGCCAGAATACGCAGTGGAGTCTCTGGTCAAAAGCCCCTACAGTTTCTGTCTTTCCACTTTGCTTTTCAGCCCCCATTCTTAAGTAGAAGCAGACAATCCAGGTTTACTAAATACTGAAGGAAGCCCCTCACATGAAATACAGAGACCAGAATGAACAGGAAAAAGCAACTTGGAGAAAAGAGAGAGTGTGCAGGTCGAAGAAAATGTCAAATACCGTCTAATTAATGTCCTCAGAGTTAAGATATATAACCATCAAATACAAATAAAATATTAGAAGAAGGAGCATTCAGTAACAGATAAGACCTCTTGGAAATTAGAAATAGGAATATAAAAGTAAAACTTCAAAAAAGAGTTTAGAAAATAAAGAAGAGTAAATTTCCCTGAAATTGGAGCAAAAGAGAAAGAAATGGAAAAATGAAAGATGAGAAAAAAGAATGCAGAACGGGAAACCTAATATATGAAAATAGATTTCTAAAAAGCGAGGACAGAGAAACCAGAAGAGAGGAAGTCATGAAAGATGTGACTCAAAAATATTTCCTGAAACAGAGGAGCATGCGTTTCTAGAATGAAAGGGTCACCCAATGCCCACACAAGGATTGAAAATAGACTCACATCAAGGTGAAATCTCTGAACAAATGAGGACAAAGAAAAGATGCTACAAGCTTCCAAGGAAGAGGAGAAAATCAGTCCTATATAAAGGATAATGAATCAGAATGGGTCCAGACTCTTCAACGGCAACCCTGGAGGCCACCCGGCAACAGCCTTCAAAGTTCTCAAAGAAAATGATTCCCAATTTAGAATCCTATAAGTGCCCAGCCTAAACTATCTATCAAATGCCAGGGTAGATTAAAACCATTTCAGACATACAAATTTTCAAAAATTCATATCCTATACCTCTGCCTCAGGAAGTCCCCAGAACATGTGTCAATGAGGAACAAATAGAGAGATGACGGAGTCCATCCAGGAGGGACGTGTCCCTGGGATGCTGGAGAGGGGAGGTCCCAAGGTGAGAGCTCTATCTCAGGTCCAGGCTGCAGCATGTTAGAAAGCTTCGGGGAGAGATTTTTTGAGAGACTGGTGAGATTATTAGGATACCTGAATTCTGAATTAGATTCTGAAAGACTTGACAGCAGACATAGACAAATGGCAAACATAAATACGCAGAAAATGAAGCTAATGGAAAACAATAGCTCCAGGGACAAAAAAAAAAAGTGTGCAGGAAAGGAAGAGTTATCCTAATTTACTATAGTTCATCTGTGAGTAGTTTCCGTGGTCACAGTAGCGCACACACTGAATATTCACGTCACCAAGATTACAGTGCAATGCGAGCCCGTGTTGGATGAGTGGGAGGTGGGGAAACACGAGCGTGTGTGGTGGTGGCAGCAGGAGGAAAGACACCAAATCCTTATCTTCTATCCTGGGGACAAATCAGACAATGGCCAACAATGAGAAAGCAAGGAAAAGTATTTCAAGTATGCTCATTTAGAGACTTGGAGGTAAATACTGAAAGAATTATCCAGAAAAGGTGCAAGTGTGGAAAGTGGTAAGGAGGCACTGTTTTTCATCGCAAGCCTTATAGAACTATTTGCATTTTAGATTATAAGCATGTCTGACTCTCGCTGGGGGGAAGTCCAGAAAATCAAAAAATGTCTATTAATACATTCTTCAGGAAAAACCTAAGTAAATCTTTCCTCTCAGAGTTTGAATTCCCCCACCCTTGCCAGCTAGAGGCCCTCACTGCTTGCTCCTCCTTTTGGAATCCTCCCCAAAACATTCTGTGGCCTCACACCCATGCTTGCAGTCCTGAATCTGTGATTCCCCGGGATCTCTAGTCAGGACTCCTGAAGCTGAGACATCTGGGCCACTTTCATTTTTTTGAGCACTCCCAGCACATTAAAAAAGGAACAGTCACAAAAATGAGATTATAAAACTATGGTGAGCTTTACATTAACAAATGAATACCTTTATCAGATACCAAACTGACGTCAGAATTGGAAATGTCAGGGTCTCTGAATGAGAGGCCCAGGCCGAGTGGCCTTCTGGCATCCCCAGCTCCCCCAGCTCCGTGATGAGCTTGACTTCAGGAGCCTTCTCTAATTTGAGAGTCTGCCCCCTGCCCTGCCCGTTATTGTGCTATTTCCTTCCCGTCTACAAAATGTGTATTATTCTGCCTTCAGTGAACTTCATTCCCTTCCTAGCAACTCCTCTGGCACTTCCTCACCCTGCTGTCACCTGTTCTTGGAATCAATATGCTCTCCATCCTCACAACCCTCATTAATTAATTAAAATGCCCTCCTCTGCCTATTTTCCATGTTGGTACCGCATTCACATTTAATGAGCATGCTCACCATTTCATTATCCAGGTCATTGATGAAATGTTGCATCACCAGGCCTAGTCTCTGTGGACACCACACTGTTATGCCCTCCCAGGTTAATAACAATCCACTGTACTCATTCTCCAGGCATGCAGCCACTCATAATTATGTGGTTTAGAATTTAAATTTTAGACCAGTGGTTTGCAAACTTGGCTGCATACTTAGAGACACCGAGGGAGATTTAAAAAATATGGATTCTGGATCTTTCCAACAATCCTATCATACTATGTTAAAAACTTGGCCCAGTTAGTGAGCCTGGTTATCTTAGATATAGGATCTTCTTTGTCTCTTCAAAGAGGAGAAAAGTAAAATATTAGAGATGGCTCTCAGGGCCCTGAGATAGAAAGAAGTGGCAAGCTGTCAGACTTTAAGTTCTGGCTTTCCTTTTCTTGCATTCTAAACAGAAAAAATTTTAAGAACTTGGTCATGGACATTGTATTAGTTTCCTATTCTTGCTATAAAAAAAATTACCCCAGATTTAGTGGCTTAAGACAACACAAATTTATTATCTTACAGTTCTGGAGGTCAAAGTCTGACAGAGGTCTTCCTGGGCTAACATCAGGGAGTCAGCCAGGCTGTGATCCCTTCCGGCTCCTTTTTGTGGCTCTTCCAGCTTCTGGGGGCCACCCACATTCTTTGGCTTGTGGCCCCATTTCTCCAGCCATGTGGAGTCCTTCTCACACAGCTCCTCTCTGGCTCTCTCCTGCCTCCCTCTTCCATTTTTAGGAACCCTTGTGATGACACTGGGCCCAGCCAGATAATCAGGATAATCTCCCCATCTCAAGGTCAGCTGATTAGCAACCATCAATTTTTGCCATGTAACCTGACCTATCCAGTTTCAGGGAGTAGGACGTGGACATCATTGTGGGTGGAGGCACACACCTTCTTCTTATCTTGTTACCACAGGGACATATTCAGCTTTCCCCTAATAATTTTTAGGTAACATAGAAGTGGATATAGAACTTCATTCTTGGAATTCTAGATAAAATTCACAGCCGCTTGGGCACCGTCACACCCCCTGCCTCATACCTAGAGTTACTCTCCAGGAGCCGAGGGACCTATTGCGACCGGGGTCTGCCTCCACATTGGGCTGCACAGCAGTTGCCCACCCTTTGGTTCAGGAGACCACTTTGTTAGGCCAGTGTGCCCCCACCCCCTTCACCATCGTGGGATCACTGTGTTCATCATAAGCTGGAAATCTCTTTCCCGTGGGCAGTGGGTGAGGGAGGGCCCGGGACAGGAGTGGCAAGATCTTCTCTGTGTTAACCTCCATCTGCTCTCAATCTCCATGGCTGCACAAAAGAATCTAAGCCACAAGCTCCCATCAGGGATGCCCCAAGCCTTCCTCTGTTTCCCATTGACTCAGAAGCTCAAGAGGTGGGACCCAGGAATCTGTGTTCTCTAACACTCCCAGTTTAATTCTGTGTATAGTCAAGTTTGGGAACTTTCAGTTTAGAGCATTTTTTTTTTAGTTTAATGGATATTACTGTAAAGATTAAAATTTAAATTGTGCTCAAATCAATATGTATTAGCATCTTTTTTTGAAATGTCAGATAAATATTTATATTATATTACATATAGAATATATACATACTACCCTCTGATAGAAGGAAATCAGATTAAAAGAATGCTCTACTTAAGAAAATCAATGGATTAAAACCAGATTTCCAAAAATAGCAACAGTAATAATAATTAGGGGATAATGATTCACCTTACAAAAGGCATTCGCTGTATTATTTCCTTTTAACAACGAATCCCCCTAGGCCTCTTTAAGTGTCAGCTGATTTACAAAATGTCTGTTTGATATATTGCTTTTCAGGACCTGAGTCCTGAAGGAGCTGGACTTTCAGTTTGTAGGATGTGATTGGTCTGTAGGTCTGTTGTCCAAGTCTTCTTCCTGTGGTGGCCCAGCTGCCGGTCTCACACAGGTGAGCTATCTCGGCTTGTTTCTATGGCCCACCTCGCCCCACCTCCAGCCTCAGCCCCATGCTCATCCCTGGGATGATCCTGAGGTCACAGGAGTTTCAGGATCCCCAGCTCAGCACTGAAAACAAGCATCAAGTAGTCCCTCTGAGGTCCTCCCTTCTGGTAACTGGGCTCTCAGTTTTCTTCCCCACGTTCTGGGCTACAGTTCGAGCTTCCCTTGGGATTTCTGACCACCTCGGAGCCTTCTTCCTGCTGCCCTCAATGGCAGGCTCTGAGATGTTTACCTCGAAGCCTTAGCCATGGGCAGACCCTGAGCTTGTCCCTGACAAGACAGGCCCGGACTCACCCACTGGTGGCGCAGGACTGGCCTTATTCTCCCACGTCAGGGATGCTGTGATGGCCCGGCCAGTCTAATACCCTCATTATGGACTCTCGGGAACGCCCGCGACTCTGCTGTGAGCCAGCGCATAGCCCCGCGCCTGGGCTTTGTGCATTTGGGCTCCTTTGCAGCCTCGTGCTGACCCCAGTCTGCTGGGCTGGACTCTTAATTCCCTGTTCAATTTTGTGCTTCTTCTCCCTCAAAGATTAGAGCCTGTTCTCCATATCCTCGGCTGCCCACTGACATCCTGCTTCACACCAAACAGCCGCTCTGGATGCATCTTAATGTGAGCACTTCCCCTCCTCCCCTCTGAGAAGGGAGCCTGGCAGCTCTCCACTCTGGCGCAGAGTGAGCCTCAGGCTCCAGCACCCTCGCGGTGCAGTCCTTTGCTCTGCTGTCCATCCTTCATGAGACCTGCCCTGAGACAGGTGAGCTTCCATCTGGCCCCGAGGTGTCATGTGGCTGAGTCTCAATTCTGCTTCAGAATAAATGTAAGAACCTAGACAGTTTGCTTAACTTGTTTGATCCGTGATAGATTTGATAGGTTACTTACCATCTAAATAATCTGATCTGCTTCATAAGCTAGATGTGGAATAAAGTATGTGAAATGCCTTTTGGGTGGTGTATGGTAGGGCGCTATGACCATTATTTTTTTTTACTTGTTCCCCAGTGACTAGTGGTCCTGAGTGACTCAGAGCCACACACATATCATGGCCAAACAGGTCCAGAAAGTCTTACTTGGGTTAATAAGTACCTCATCTCTACTCCCTCAGAAGTCAAGAAAGGCCTGAGCCACTTGCGACCTTTGAGGCCCTTAGTGTATTAAATAAATATTAAAAGAATGCAAAAACAAGACAGACCAAAAGAAAATACTTGCAAAATACATATCTGATAAAGGACTGTGTCCAAAATATACCAGAAAAAAAACCAACCCAAAAAACAAAAACTTCTTAAAACTCAAAATAAAAACCAAACAACCCGATTAAAAAGTAGGCAAATGATCTGAACAGACACCTCATCAAAGAAGATATAAAGATGGCAGACACTCATATGAAAAGAGGCTTAACATCATATGTTAGTGGGAAATTGCAAACTGAAGCAATATATGCCATTATTTACCTATTAGAATGGCCAAAATCCAAAACACTGGCAATACCAAATGCTGGTGAGGATGTAGAGCAACAGGAACTCTCATTCATTGCTGGTCAGAATACAAAATGGTACAGCCACTCTGGAAGACAATCTGGTAGTTAATTACAAAACAGCATACTCTTACCATATGATCCAGCATTCTCACTCCTTGATTTTACCCAAATGAATTGAAAACTTACATTCATGCAAAAACCTGCACATGGATATTTGTACCAGCTTTGTTCACAACTGCCAAAACTTGGAAGCAACCAAGGTATCCTTCACTAGATGAATGGATAGATAAAATGTCGTCTATCCAGACAATGTCATATTATCCAGTGATAAAAAGAAATGAGCCATCATCAAGTCATGAAAAGACATGGAGGAACATTAAATGCATATTGCTAAATGAAAGAAGCCAATCTCAAAGTCTACACACTGTATAATTTCAACTCTATGACATTCTGGAAAAGGGAAAACTATGGTGACAGTAAATAGATCAGTGGTTGCCCAGAGTCCAAGGGGATAGGCAAGGGGGGGAATAGGCAAAACACGGGATTTTTTAGAGCAAGAGAACTAGTCTGTATGATACTATAATGGTGGATATATGACTTTTGTGCACTTATCAAAACCCATACATCTGTGCAACATGAAGAGTAAACCTTGGGAGAGGGTATAGCTCAGTAGTAGGGTGTGTGCCTAGCATGCACAAGGTCCTGGGTTCAATGCCCAGTACCTCCACTAAAAATAAATATATAAAAACCTAATTATCCCTCCCCCCAAAGAATTTTTTTTAAAAAGTGAGCCTTAATTGTAGACTTTAGTTAATAATCATGTATCAATATTGGTTCATCAATTGTAATAAATACACCACACTAACACAAAATGTTAATAAAACATGTGTGAGAGTGGGGGAGGGGAGGATATAGGAACTCCGAGCCATCTGTCAATTTTTCTGTAAATCTAAAACTGTTCTAAAAAGTAAAGTCTATTAATTAAATAAAAATAAATACTAAAACAGGGTTCATTTTAAATGTGGTATATTTAAAATATCTCCATTTTAAAACTCAGTGATTTTGAAACAAGGAAAAATATAATGCAATATAATCATGCTGCTCATAAGGTCATGGTAGGATTATAAGTATCTTAATTCATAATGCATGACAGATGAATGGTCTGGTAATGAGAGGCATGTTCCAAGTTGAATGATGAGAGTTGTCTTCCTTAAATCCTCAGACTACATCTCTGTAATGTATAGGACACTTGCCAATAACCAGCCTGGAGCCCTTCAGGCACTTGAGGCCTGTTGAATGGAGCACATGATGGGCCCTTCTGGGCTTTAGCTTTGTCTTCCAAGCCCACCTCTGATTCCCTCGGTTTTGCTCTTGAGCTCGTGTTGGGTGGCTGCCTGCAGGTAGACATTTCTAGTGCTAACTGCTTACCCACCTAGACCTCTAAGCCTCACCTGCTGGTGATGCCCCATTTCTATTCTCTGCCCCACTGTGGAGCACCTAGGAATCTGCCTGGGCCAGCCACAGTACTGAGCAACAACCGTGACTCCAGCCATTGTGTTCTGCCTGCTAGACTGGGTTTCCTCTTTTATCTGGAGCACGTTGGGTTAGTAGCTCCCAACAGAGAGGGGACTAGAGACTAAAAAAGAAGAAATGGTTTCATCATACACCAGGCCTTCCTGCAGGATCACTTTGGCATCTAGCTGTCCCTGCCTTACTTCCTCTATTCCCAGTCTGGGCCTAGTTCCAAAACAGAAATGAACACACTTGCTGACTTCCCTTTCTTTTCACATTTTTCAAGTTTTTTCTGATTATGATAGTAGTAGGTACTCCTTTGAGAAAAATTACAAGTCACAGAAATGCAGGAAGAAGCACAGGAAAAAAAAAATTCCCAAATGCTGTATTACCCAGAGATAACCACTAATGTCATTTTACTTGTTATTTTTTAAGCTCACTCCGTATTCACCCCTGAACCTCACACAACTGAATTTTGCCTCTTCCATTTTCCTAGAACTCCTCTCCCAAAGGTCAGTGTCTGTCAGAGGCAAACTTCCTGGTGCGCTCTATCTGTTCCTCCCTCCCGGGGATTCTGCTTTTGCGATCATTCCCTGTTTCCTGCATTATCAGTTTCTCCTCTTCATTGGCTCACTCCTGTCAATCTGCAAACCTGCCTTAATATCGCTCATCTTAAACTCTTCCTTAACCCCACTACCTCTTCTCTGTTCCTCTTTGTTGTCAAACATCTCAAAGGGATGTCTATACCTTTGCCTTCTCCACTTTCTCACCTCCAGGTCTCCTCGATTTGCTCCAGTAGGGCTTGTCTTCATCACTCTACTGAAATGACTCTTACCAAGGTCATTCATAACTTCCATTTTGCTAAATCTAATGGTCAATTCTCTGTCTTCATCTTCCCATCCCAATAGTATTTGACATAGTTCTCTCCTCCTTCCTTCCAGAAATAAATTCTTCTCTTAGTCTCTGTTGACATACACTCTCCTGGTTTTCCACTTACTTCAGTTTTCCTTTGCTGGTCCCATCTTCTGTGTCTGACTTCTAAATGTTGATTGATTTGGGCTTAATCTGAAGCTTTCGCATCCCTACAATTTCTACTTGGTAATCTCACAAATCCCATTGGTTTAAATACCATCTATATGATATTGACTCTCAAATCTAGATTTCCAGTTACAGCCCTTAGGATTAGTTTAGTTTGCATGTATCAGAAAAATTCCAAATAATAGTGGCTTAAACAAAACATGTTTGTTTTTATTTAATATATGAGAAATTTGAAGGAAAGCAAACTAGGACTTGTATGAGATATGGTAGCTTGATAGTCATCAAAGACCCAGAAAACTTCTCTTTATTTTATTTTCCTAACCCTTGGCTTCCATCCTCAAGGGCACCTCATTATTTCAAGATGGCTGCTGGAGCTCCAGCTATATCATCCACGTTCCAGACTGCAGAGAGGAGAAAATAGGGAGGACAAACTGACCCAGCTGAGTCTGTTCCCTTTAAGGAACCTTTCCAGTTTCTTCACAAAACTTCTGCTTACATCTCATTGTCCAGAACTTAATCAAATGGCCAAACCTAGCTGCAAGGAAGGCTGGGAACGGTAGTCTTTATTTCAGATAGCACTATACCTCGCTAAATATCAAGGTTTGGTTACCAAGGAAGAAGAGAAGAGTGAATATCAGGTAGGGAACTAGCAATTTCTGCCACACCAGCTCTGACCTTTGCCCTGAGATGTAGACTTACGTATCTTGATGCCCATAATATATCCATTTGGATGTAAAATGGGCATTTCAAACTAAACCTGGACAGACCTCTTGATTCTTCCCATGCTCAAATCTACTCCTCCCCAACCTTTTTCATTCCAGTAAATGACCTCACCTCATTGCTCAGACTAAAAACCCAAAGTCATTAAAAAAAAAAACTTTTGTTATGAAAACTCAAATATACTGAAAAGTAGAGCAAATAGTCTAATAAATACTCATAGATCCATCATCAGTCGTGCGTATTTCACCTATTTTTATGTATGCTGTAGTATCATAAAGTGAGGTGCAGTCATTGTAACATTTAACTCAAAAATTTCACTTTCCATTTCTAAGACATAAAGGTATTTTTGTATATAATCATCATACTATTATCACTCTTACCAAAATAAATAATTCTTGGCTCCTCTCTTTTTCTCATCCTCCATAGCCAATCAGTCAGCAAGTGATGTCAGCTCTCCAGCCACTCCCTGCTCTCTCCAATGCCACCCCATCCCAGCCACCATCATCCCTTACCTAGATTTCTGTTTTCCATTCTTCCTTCTGTCTTTTTCACACAGTACCAAGCTGATCTTTTAAAAGCGTAAACCATGCTATATCACTTTCTTGATTAAAACCCCCCAGAGATGTCCCTCTGTGATTAGAATAGAAGCCAGCCTTCTTTAAGATGTGCTTGATCTGACTCCTGCCCACCTTCCTAAGCTCTTCTTCCTCTCTCCCCTCATTCATGCCTGATTTTGTTTTTTGGACACCAGAGTCATTCCTGCCTGAAGCATTTCTCCCAGATCTTTGTATGGCTGGTTCCTTCTCGTCACCACTCAGTCTTACATCAAACGTCACCTCCTCAGGGAAGCTTCCTCTGCCCGTCCTCCCTAGAACAGTGCCCACTTTTCTCTTCAGTCAATGCATAGTCTGCGTAGGCTGTTATCCTGTTTTATTTCATGTGTCCTTTATCATTATTTTAAGTTATATTATCTGTCTGTTTGTTTAGCTGTTTAGGGCCTGTCTTCCTCTTAGAATGGAAGCTTCATGAGAGTCTAGCACGGTACAAAATATCCACTCAATAAATAACACTGGAGAATAAGTCAATAAATTGATCTATGGATATTGACAGACTTTGTTTTAAGTTTCAGCACCATGACTTACTAGATATGGTGGGCAAGTTACTGAATTTATCTGGACCTCAATTTCTTCAAAATGGCATTAGTAGTCCTATGTCACAGGACT